TGAGTTTGGTTAGTTTAATTTATACAGATCTCGCCGCAGTGATTTTCCAATAATTTTGACTCACACTGTATATATAATATTTAGGGGATGAAATGTAAGCCTACTGAACGAATTCAAGGAAGGAATGTTATCATAAAATCAGAGAATTAGTTAAACGAAGGTAACTGACGTAACTATTTAAAGTAAAATAACATTGCTTAATAAAGTATTGTCAATATTATTTTCTGTCCTTGGCTCTTTGACATACTCTTCACGAACCACGTGATATCAAACGCAGTCAGTTTTCTTTTCTGAAAATTTGATGTTTTTTTTTACCCCATACAAACAAACGTGACAGTAATTTTAGCATGTTTGCCTACTTCTCGAACATATATTATTATCTTTATGAATAGCCATTGTTCGTATACTAAAATCTTAAGCATGTGAAACTTGCAATTTTGTTAGCCGATTTTGATATTATATGCCTATCATCGGGAGTTCTATAATCTTAACCACTCCAAATAAGGAGATCTCGGTGATTCGGACCTATTCTTTTAATTGCGTCAGGCAGTTTAATTTTGTCTTAACCAAATCATTTTTATAAATTATCGTGTTAATCATCGATAGACCCGAGCATATCTCATGTGCCATCTCGGACGAATACTATCTTTTTTAACGATTAATGGTCATAATATAAGAATACGTCATACATGTTTATCAGATACGTAAAGAATGAATCTAGCTGATTTTAGTATTTTACATCTATATTGGGTTTTAATTTTTCTGTGTAATTTAAAGCACAATGGCTTTATGCATAGCAATATGTAACTAATGTATTAGTCGGTGTCATAAATTCTCATGATTTATGCATATATCATCACTTTGTAATAGCAAATACGATCCCGTGTTAAAGTCTCTTTGCAGGATATCTTTTCGCTCGAAATATGAAAAATTCAGCATCAAGAGATTTTTTAAGTTTGCTTGAAAATCCAGAAAGTTATGACGTGAAAATCTTAGTTGGTGAAGAACCAGACATTAAAGAATTTAAAGCACATTCGTTAATCTTAACTTGTAGGTCAACCTATTTTAAAAGTGCATTGTCTTCACGATGGGCAAAGGTAGAAAATGGAATTACCATTTTTAATAAACCCAATATTTCGCCTTCAGTATTTGAAGTTCTTTTAAAGTAAGTTTGTTTTTATTGCGTTGAATAAAAAAGCGGCGATATAAAATTAATTTATTCTATAAATATAAACGTAAATAGATACATTTATACAGGAGATATTTCTGTTGAAAGCAATGAAGTTAGTCTCATTGATATTGCTATTGCGAGCGACGAGCTTCAATTACTTGAAGTCTACCAACAACTCGAAAAACGTTTGCTTAAGGATAGATGGGCTTGGAAACCAAAAGACATTATTGCCATTCTTCAGCACGAACATTTCACTACCTTGTATAATGTCTCGATAGGATTCGTATGTAGGAATCCCAAAATTATTTTTGAATCAGAAGATTTCTTTAATATGAAAGAAGTTCATCTCATTACTCTTTTGAAATGCGATGACCTTGAGATAGAGGAAATTAAAATTTTGGAATACCTAATTCAGTGGGGAATCAAAAATACGAATTCCATTTTAGATTATGATATTACAAAATGGACACCGGAAAATTTCAGGGACCTGAAAAATACATTGTGTAATTGTATTCCTCATGTTCGATTTTTTCAAATGACGCCAAGCGACTATACAAAAGTTAGAGCTTATTTTAAAGATATACTACCAGACGGTCTTGATGATGAAATTATTCGATATTTTATTGATCCTGATTTCATACCCTCAACCAAGATTTTACCATTAAGAAATTATCCATTCGAATCAAGTATAATTAGTGCCAAAGATGCAGGCTTAATAGCAAGTTGGATCGACAAGCGAGAAACACCTTATCATTATACAAATTTACCTTTTAAGTTTAGGCTTATCTATCGTGCTAGTCGTGATGGCTTTGACATAGAAAACTTTCATAAAAATTGTGATAATCAGGGACCAACACTCGTGGTCATTAAAGTTCGCGATTCAGCCGAGATAGTTGGCGGATACAATCCATTAGAATGGTGTCGTGTCAAAGTAGAAGATTCACTTGAAGACGATGATTTTACTGATGATTATTTTAATCACCGATGTGAAACGTCAAATAGTTTTATATTTTCTTTAACAAACCGAGCAATTCCGATATTAAGTCGAGTCTCTTCTAAAGAAGAAGCGATCGTTTGGTGCAAAAGCAAAGGGCCATGCTTTGGTTTACAAGATCTGTGTATCCTATCATCAAATTTTTCAAATGATATTGTCTGCGAAAGCAGGAAATATTCTTACGAGGAGAAAATTATTAACAGAGAAACCTATGAAATCGAAGAATACGAAGTATTTCAAATTATTGATGAGAGGCTTTCTCATCGGATTTATAGAATAATTCAATCTTTCATAGAATTGTTCAAAGGGGTTTTCCAATTTTTTATCGGGTGGTTTAAAGGTGATTTTCGACTAATTATTGTGTTTTCAATACAATGTCTTGTAAAAATTCTTGAACTAATTTATCTTCTTGTTAAAACGATAATGTGTACTTTTTTATTTTTAATTTATTCGATCGCTTCTTATTAAATTATTGAGGCTTTCATTATATAGATTGCGTGCATCTTTTTGCGAGTGTTAAGAGTTATTTTCTTATTCGCTACATACTGTATTCGGTTTCGAGTTTATAATTTCTATCTGTATATTTTGATTGTTTATTTGTGGTTTCATTCTATGACCTTGGAACTTCTCTGATAATTTATGTACCTTTAACGAGAGAGATCTTCATGATTAAAACCTTGTAAGTTATGTACATTAACCTTACTGAAAAATTTGTTATTATTTTCACGAACTTTGATACTCTTTTTATACTTTTAAATATAAAACAACTAGAAGGCTCCTCAAAGTAAATCAAAAAAACGAATTGAAAATATAAACGAAGTATAATTGTAGGACTGTAAAAGGATAGGGAAAAAGGTATGGGATACTTGAAAGTAAAAGAAATCTTACGCAAAGATAAAGATACAATAGATTATTATTATTATAGAAAATACATTATATCTTTATTACATTATGTGTCATTCCGGGTCGGGTTCGGGTTTGACCCGATACGACCCGTTTAATAATTTTCGAGTTTGGATCGGGTCGATCATCAACTCGAACCCAACCCGAAGATCATCGGGTCAGATTCGGGTCAGATTCGGGTTATAAAATTTGATTGGTTATTAGAACACTTACTTTCGATTGATTTTTTTCGGGAAACATTTTTTTTTCTAATTATTTTAATTTCCCACCCGTAATTTTCTTGGTTTGTTCATTGTTAATTAAATTACACATGCGTTCAAATAATTCATTGATTATATTGTGAGAAACCGATTCATCATAATATCCGAATATTTGCATAGAAATATAATTTTTTTTTTCAATTTTAAAAAATAAAAAATAATTTTTATCTATTATGTTTTTATTGTTAAAAATTATATTGTTATAAAATTTTTTTATCATAATAAAATAAAGCAATGAGTCTTTGGCTAATTAAAGCATTAGAAAATAATTTAATTTTTAGTGACACAATACTTAAAAATAATGCTATAATAAATAATGATATACTATAAATAATGCTTATAACCGAGACTTCTTAAATACTTTATGCGCTTGTACAATTATCTTGATTTATTAAATTGTATTTACACGAATATTTTTGCTTATATGCTAATATACTTTTCCTGCTATCTATCTAATTTAATCGCTTCCCAAGTTATTTTTCCTACAGACATCTTTGACATCATCATTAGTTCTTAATTACGATTAAGCAATTTATTAAATTTTACATATGTTGGTAAAAAATTATTCAAGTATTAATTAAATTTCATTGATCCGAAAGTTTATATCAATTTAACATATAGCCGCTTGTTCATAAGTCTATTCTTTCTCAAGTTGAATAGCCCATGAACAACACAACTCTGACACTACTGTGTCTTCAGGAATAAGCCACAGCTTTGTGAGTGCAATAGTCTCACTGTATAAATAAAAATTGATATATTGGTTTTCGCTTAATCGTGAATTTGAATCTTTCACTACCAATACATCTAAGCTTTATGTAGATGTCAATAGTCTAATATGTCTCCCCACATGCTAACCAACGCTTGCAGGCGCATTAAAATCGCCATACATCTCATCCGGCTAAATATTATTATTTTAATATTATAAACGAGTATAAAATAATTTGGTTAATCAAAGCCATCTGCATACCTAAAGGACTAAGTGCAAGAGGTATCCAATCTTGGTTAGAAAGTTCTTGTTTTCTTCACAGAATCTAACTAAACTAGGAAAATTATTTGATCATAACTCCAGTGGCAAACTTGGATTAACTTATATGCCACCTAAACTAATAGACTGCTCTGAGAAATTGTGCGATAAAACTTCAAAATATATATCAAAAAATAAATGTAATGAGAAAATTTTTATATACAGGTGATAAAAGGAGAATATTGTGGATCACCTTCTTTTACAATTATTCTACTTGTATTATTTCCTTCTCTGAAAAATAAATCTACGGACAATGGACTTTGTTGATCATGATCGTTCAAGCTCTCTTCGTCAACCCAAAATTCCAATGCTTTTACTAATTCATCACCATATAACCCTTTTGCAAGATCGAAAATGTCATATTGAAGGATCTTACTTCGAACAGGTGTTGTACTCAATGGCTGTAAATTTTTTAATTTCTGGTTCTTCTTTGATGTACGAATATCTACCCTACGATTGGGTTCAACGGGTAAGGTTGTTTTGCACGCGAAGATGTGGGCATACTCATGTCAGCCGTTGATATAATGACTTGATTTGGGTTTAATGTTAGGGAGGTTTCCGTGTTGTGCCTGTTTTGTAATAATTGTTGTTGATCGACATAACGGCATTAATGGTTTACCGCAAGTATAAGAGTAAACAGATATTTTTGTAATAATCAAAATATCAGTCGAAAATTCGCAAATATTTGCAGTTCATCTTCAGCCGAAACATATCGCGTTCTCTCCTCCGTGAAAACCAAATCCTCATAATCTAAACTCCATGCAGTACACAATATCCGTACGCCTTTTCCTAAATTCCATATGCTATGTTTATTGAAATTAAAACGTTGGTAAGAAGGAATACTTTGTCACCTACGTTTCGAATCAAATAAAATATGTACAATAGCCATTCCATCAGAAGAAGTTGAAATTGTTACTATCCATTGGCCATGGAAACTATAATGCAAGAATATAGTGTATACTGATGATTATTAAATAATAAAATCACTAAAATTATCCATTTTGTTCGTTTTACTGGTTGACATCAAATTTTTCGAGTTTTAAATTCATGAATTATGATCTTATAATTGTTGGAACCGGATTCAAGCAAAAAAGAATTTCCAGTTTCATCTGGTGAAAGAGAATAACTTATAAAAGAGCACATTAATTGTATAAATGATTGAGGAAAAGAAACAAAGATTTTAAATATGTGAACATAGAGGGCACCAATTAAGTTTACAGAATCAAGGATAACGTAGGTAAAAATCAAAGGTATGTTGTAAACAAGATCAACGTCAGAATTTTCGAAATACTGTACCTTGATATTGTACTGTATATATTTTGCACATAAAGCTGATCTTTCCTTATTTAGAAAAATCAGACTAGAGCGAGTTCAATTATAAATAAAGAATTTTAATCAAATATAATTTTGTTTGAAAATTTGATTATAGATAACGTGACTGCTTTGTTTATTTAAACTCATGCTGAAAATAGAACCGGTCAAACGGGTCAAACGGGTCGAACCCGATTTTGGCCCGACCCGATCTGACCCAACCCGAAATTATTACGTAAGCAAATGATATGACCCGAAATATAAAATTTCGGGTTGAGATCGGGTTGAGTTTTGGGTTGAACCGACCCACTCGGAACACTACTTCATTTAAATAAAATGGACTTTAACAAAAATAACTATAGTATATAGCAGTCTACGTATTCCTAACCGTTGTTTATGAATAAGTTTAGACAAAAGGTTCCATATTTCTGCAAAATAATATCTATTTTTAAAAAGAAAATACAATTGAAAACGATTAACTTTTACCATTTTATAAATTCCAAAAACATAGGACAATGACGTCTTTTAGCACACTACTAAATCCTATACCTCAATATGCAACGGCTAGCTTGCCAGCTTTGGCAATAATGGGAGAATCACCTGTCGCACTGTTTTCAGGAAAATTTATGTGGTTACTTAGATGCCTCGGAAGTCCGTTTACGGGGTTATTTTACTCTTTTATTATTGGTGGTCGAAAAAAGGACCGTTGCATATACTGGCTTTCATCAAACAAATTTAAACTTATTTCTAAAGACGGTACCAAACCAAAAGAACCTATTGAATCTGGCGATAATAATGAATTTCCTGAACAATTCAGACCTTTTGGATTTTATGCTTGCGAAATCGATAAAGATAACGCAACATATATAGATGAACTCGTAAACCAATGCACAACAACGATATCTGTTCTGGAAAGATTTTCGGCAATCGTATCAACTTACTTCATAATAGTTGGTACATTGGCATTAATTTCTCAGGCTCAAGGAACAACAAACGACTGTAAAGATTGGCCATATTTTCCATCATTGTTGTCCTGGACAGTCCCAGCAACCTTGATTCGGGCGATTTACGGAGTCGTATTAATTAAGAATCCTGATGAGATTGTTAATGAACATCAAATAACGATAACTATAAATGACGAGAATAGAAGTTATAAACGTTTTACCGTTGTTGTAACTGCTTTTATATCAATAATTTATCCTTGGATAACATTATTTCTGATTTTCTTGAAACCCCCAATCGGATATGGTTGTCGGAGTAAATTCGTTACAATAATCTGTGTCATTTGGACCTTAAATAATATCTTGGCAATTATATCCCACTGCAAAGGAGAAAAGAACTTAAAATGCGGAATTCTTCATATTTGGTTTTCTTTATGTGGAATTGTAGTCATAATTCTTTTAATTCTTTTAGGTTTTCTTGCTAACGATAATGAATGGTGGGTTGTTTTGTTTGGAGAATCTTGTAGCACTGCAAGTATAGGATGCATGTGATTTGGGAACAAAATTTTTAATTCGCGTTACTATAGTGTTTTAGAAAAATTCTTGACGATTATTTCTAATTTGTTTTTTATATACCAGAAGAAACAAAGTAGATAAATGTTTAAATTATATAAAATTTGTACTTTCACATTGCTAGCTCTAGAAAAAACTAACTGGGAAACTTTTCATAGCAAATACTGAATGTACGTTATTAATTTTTACAATAAATATTTATTTTAAATTCTATCATAACTTATCATCCCTAAATAATTCAATATGTTTGTACTACATTATCAGTGTTGAATCTGTAACGTACTATAAATTAACCAGAAATTTTATTGAAACTTTGGGTTAAACAATCTCGAGTCAGCATTATAAATATTTATTAATAAATTTTCACCGGTACGGGTGTTTGTATGAATTATTCACAATGATTAGCTTTTTAAAAATTGCACGATTATTTTTATTATCTCGTATCATTAAAATGTATCTAGTGATTTAATATGATGTGAAGTCTAATAATTTAAACATAGATTGACTCAAGACTATATTTAAATACTTTAAATGTTATAATATTAGTGTGGACTAACCTTACACATTGTTACGGGCGACCGTGATCAGGTAAGCGTTGGAATTGGTTTTTTTGTCATCGAGGTGTATGAATGTAAAAGTTACTACATATTAAAATTTTTATTTATTAATTATATCTACTTTTGTACATACAGTATAATATTGGCAATGAAATATATATACATAAAAGTTTGGCTAATTTTAATATTTTATTATTATCATTTACTGTATGATTTACATTTTATGCAACAATTTTTTTATTTGAATTTTAATTCTATTATTCATATTATTTACAAAACAGTGTTTTAACAAAAAATCTATAATTAATTAATCTTGTTAATTATACTTTATGTCAATTATGCATTAAATTTTATAAACTGGATTAAACATCTAAATAACTATTGGTGGATAAAATTCCTATTAAGAAAAATTAAATTTCAAATTATTATCATTAATTTATAATAATGATTTTATCTCAAAGTTTTTATGTCATTATGTAAATTAACCTTAATATATTAAGTAAATATATCTGTATAATTAATTTTGTTTACAATAAAATTATTATATCACTTTATATAATTTTAAATAAATATTAATTGTTCCTAAATATAGAATTTATTGTTGTAATATATTTATTTGTTTATAAAATTGACTAAATAGTAAAATCAAATGTTTTATATAAAGCTATTTTTATAAATAAATTGGAAAATAATTTAATTGTTTTTAAAAATTACTATATATTTATAATTTATATATGATATTTGTTTTTTTAAAAAAAAGAAAAGCTTAAAACATAAAACTTTATTTAAACAAGCATCTATTGCCATTACATTAATAATATTTACAAAAATAAATTAATTGTAGTGTATTATAACAAAACTATTGATACTGATTATTGCTAGAAAGGTAAATATATGTTAATAATATTAAATAGTTATTACCTATTCAAAATTGTAAGATTACCACAAAGTAAAGATATGTTTAGTAGTATTGTTGTTTGAAAAAGTTTGTAAATTAAGAATTTATTAATATAATGTTATTATTTTTGTTTAAATTTATAAATTTGTTACTATTTTTTTTATTTTATTTTAGATACTAGTAAAGTTATTGCTAAAATAAAATATTACTTTCAAATCTTGTATAGAATTTTAAATATATAATTGAAAATATTATCTTTTTTGTAAACAAAATTGAATAATTATAAAATGATCTTGTTTATATCCTTGTCTTTTTATTATTGTATTGGAAAAACAAGATTGTAATTGTTTCTTTAAATATTGTTTACTAATAAAAATTTAAAACAAAAATAAAATTTATATAAACTTTCTTTTAAGTAATCTTTGTAAAAAATTATAAAACTCACAATTGTAATTTAAATGTTTGTAGAATATTTGAATATATAGTATAAAAGACCATACAAGTCTTTACTCAAATAAATTAATTATACAAGTGTTTTAAATATAGTAGAAGTTGTATTTTTCTCAATTTATAAATTGAATTAAAATTAATTTTTCTTTAATACTTTGACTATTTCTTTAGTTATATAATATTAGTTAATTATAAGTATTGTTTATAGATATAATCTAATTTTTTATATAAATATACATACAAATAAAGACTTTACTATTCTAAAAAATAGTTAATAAGCTTTAGAAAATATTTAATGGATATTCCATAATTTAAACATTTCAAACTAATAATATAAACAGAATTTGTTAAAATAATAAATTAATTTTACAAAGAACTAAGTCTATAAATATATTATTTATAAGCTTAAAAATAATAATAAAGTCAGTTATTATAATATATTTGAATTAAAATCCAATATAATATTTTTTAGTTTGAATTTTTTTATTAATTAAAAGTTTGTTATAAGTGCAAAAGAATATATGCAGATTTTCAAAAAAGGTATTATATTTTGTATATAAATTATTAATATAGAAACTAAAGTATTGTTTATAAAAATTAGATTTAATTATAGTTAATTTGACAAAAGTTTAATACTAAAAAAAATAAATCACTGTATCTTAGTTAATTAAATTAAAAATTATATAAAAACATTAATATAGTAGTTAATAAATTTTATTCAATAAATAATATTAGTATAATTATTGATAATTAGTTATAAAGTAAAAATTCTTTAAAAAATTGTTATATTCATTTTAGAAAAAGTGTCAAATATGAACTAATAGCCTTTAGACCTGTAGGTCTGTAGTGTAGTGGTTAACACTCCGCAGGTCAAATCAAATATACCAGTTCAACCCCATATGAAGGTAGTTGAATAGAATTAATATGGTATTTGACGCCATAACCTGTTAAGCACTCTTTTCGCGATCCCAGGTCGATCGTTAATCACGTGACCCTAATCGAGTTACTATTGTTTTTATTCTTCCTTTCACACTATACTGATTTTTAAACAATACATATAATATTCAAAAAACAATTATCAATAGATCCAAACAATTTACTGGCAAACTATTGCATCTTGAAAAATTATTTAATTGTATTTTTAAAAATCTTGGATTTATTAGAAAAATATTATAAAGCTTCTTATGAAACTATAAATTTTTGAAAGCCATTTATTGAAAATATTAATAATAATTCAATAATTGATTAAAATAGAACCAATTAATATGAAAGATGTTAAATTGAAAGTAAAATCTTTGATTCTATTATGTTACTATAAAATATAAAAGATTTATTTGTTTTGACTCGATTTTTAAATTATGACTCATAAGAAGCTGTTTCACATACAGATCCAGTGGGTGTTGAGATTGTGATTTTGAGAAGAGGTGTTGTGACATGACGATCATCTGGTTGGTATTATGATAATCATTGTTAAAGTTTGATGCAATCCCCGGTTTCTCAATAGGCCATTTCTCTCTCCTATAGTCCATAAGACTATAAAAGAAATATAATATGGAGGGCTACAAACTGGAAAATTATTTAACAAGACTTTCAACATACCCCTCCTTCAGTATAAGTAACGAATTGTCAGCAATACCCACCATTCTTACCTGTAGTAAAGATACTTAGTTGGTAACAATTGTCAGAATAGAAGACTCTCCTTAATACTTAGCATGACTTTGGAGAATTTGCGCCCTCTTAAATAAGCAGCCTATGCTTAAAGCCTGGAATTATCTAAAAGAATTGAATCCTCAACCTCACATTTAAAGATATCAAAACAAAAACCCTGGCCAATAGGTTCCATCTGCTTTTCCAAATAGTAACAATTCAGACTGAGTGTCTTAAATAAGATGAACAACCAGAAGAAGATAGAGATACAATACTCTGATAAGTAATTCGATTGATAATTGAATCTTACTGAAATGTTTACAAATTTGAGGCTGGAAAATGTAAAAAAAGCTTATAAGTAGGTGCACCCAGATGGTATACCTGTAGATAAATTCAAATTGTAGCAATTTGTAGTAAAATATATGTAATATATATTATCTCTGCAAAACTAATAAAATTAAAGTAAGCTTCCTTGGAATTTTTTAAAAAAAAAAACCAATAGCCTTTTAAATTAAGTTATTGAATTAGAAGTTTTTTGAAATAATAAGAATATTATATTTAAAAAGTATTAAATAAGAACTAATAGTTTTTTGGTTTAAGTTATTAAACTATAAAGTTTTTTGAAATGATAAAGATATTATATTTAGTTTATTAATATAATCTGAAATTTTAAGATCAGTAATTATATTAAAATAAATTTTAATAAGTAATAAATAAAATATATAAGTAAAGGTTCAATAAAGAACTAACAAATAAATAAATCAAAAGTTTAAATATATATATATATATTTTTTTTACGTTGATAAACATTAGTTCTTTATTTTCTGTATATACTAAAATATAACTATGCAAAAGAACCTACATCTCTCACAATATATGAGTTAAATGCTAGCTTACCAACGATATCTATCTAAACTATATTAGAAAAGAAAATTTAAAACTAATATGTTGTTTAGATAGTTGCATGACAGGCCATGCAATTTGTAAGAAAATAAAATAAAAGTAAAAAAATTCTAGTACATATTAATATTAAACAGAACTTTTCACATTATAATTTCGGCTCACGCAGCTATAAGGTCAG